CAGAACTATTCCAACCCATGGTCAATGAAAAGCCCAGCCCTACCTGCAGAACAAAGCTTTGCAGTTTGTACCCAACAGTCATTGCCAGGGACCCAGAACTGATAATCAGGACTTTTAGGCTGAGTGAATAAAAAATTGATGGTTGAAAATTTAAGAAAGAGTTATCTTGTTTGTGTTTTGACATTTTGGAGGAGTTGACAGATAAAGACAAGGCTTGGGGGTATTTCCAATGACAAGGAGGTGCTTGGAGCTGGAGTTGAACCAGCGACCTTAGGATCACGGCGTTTCACACAAGGAGCATCTTACAGTCCACTTCTCTTCCAACTGAGCTATCAAGGTGCTCTCTAGTCACAAGTGCAGAAAACATAGTGGCTTCGAAGACACACTATGCCCACAGAACTATTCCAACCCATGGTCAATGAAAAGCCCAGCCCTACCTGCAGAACAAAGCTTTGCAGTTTGTACCCAACAGTCATTGCCAGGGACCCAGAACTGATAATCAGGACTTTTAGGCTGAGTGAATAAAAAATTGATGGTTGAAAATTTAAGAAAGAGTTATCTTGTTTGTGTTTTGACATTTTGGAGGAGTTGACAGATAAAGACAAGGCTTGGGGGTATTTCCAATGACAAGGAGGTGCTTGGAGCTGGAGTTGAACCAGCGACCTTAGGATCACGGCGTTTCACACAAGGAGCATCTTACAGTCCACCGCTCTACCAACTGAGCTATCAAGGTGCTCTCTAGTCACAAGTGCAGAAAACATAGTGGCTTCGAAGACACACTATGCCCACAGAACTATTCCAACCCATGGTCAATGAAAAGCCCAGCCCTACCTGCAGAACAAAGCTTTGCAGTTTGTACCCAACAGTCATTGCCAGGGACCCAGAACTGATAATCAGGACTTTTAGGCTGAGTGAATAAAAAATTGATGGTTGAAAATTTAAGAAAGAGTTATCTTGTTTGTGTTTTGACATTTTGGAGGAGTTGACAGATAAAGACAAGGCTTGGGGGTATTTCCAATGACAAGGAGGTGCTTGGAGCTGGAGTTGAACCAGCGACCTTAGGATCACAGCGTTTCACACAAGGAGCATCTTACAGTCCACCGCTCTACCAACTGAGCTATCAAGGTGCTCTCTAGTCACAAGTGCAGAAAACATAGTGGCTTCGAAGACACACTATGCCCACAGAACTATTCCAACCCATGGTCAATGAAAAGCCCAGCCCTACCTGCAGAACAAAGCTTTGCAGTTTGTACCCAACAGTCATTGCCAGGGACCCAGAACTGATAATCAGGACTTTTAGGCTGAGTGAATAAAAAATTGATGGTTGAAAATTTAAGAAAGAGTTATCTTCTTTGTGTTTTGACATTTTGGAGGAGTTGACAGATAAAGACAAGGCTTGGGGGTATTTCCAATGACAAGGAGGTGGTTGGAGCTGGAGTTGAACCAGCGAGCTTAGGATCACGGCGTTTCACACAAGGAGCATCTTACAGTCCACCGCTCTACCAACTGAGCTATCAAGGTGCTCTCTAGTCACAAGTGCAGAAAACATAGTGGCTTCGAAGACACACTTTGCCCACAGAACAATTCCAACCCATGGTCAATGAAAAGCCCAGCCCTACCTGCAGAACAAAGCTTTGCAGTTTGTACCCAACAGTCATTGCCAGGGACCCAGAACTGATAATCAGGACTTTTAGGCTGGGTGAATAAAAAATTGATGGTTGAAAATTTAAGAAAGAGTTATCTTGTTTGTGTTTTGACATTTTGGAGGAGTTGACAGATAAAGACAAGGCTTGGGGGTATTTCCAATGACAAGGAGGTGCTTGGAGCTGGAGTTGAACCAGCGACCTTAGGATCACAGCGTTTCACACAAGGAGCATCTTACAGGCCACCGCTCTACCAACTGAGCTATCAAGGTGCTCTCTAGTCACAAGTGCAGAAAACATAGTGGCTTCGAAGACACACTATGCCCACAGAACTATTCCAACCCATGGTCAATGAAAAGCCCAGCCCTACCTGCAGAACAAAGCTTTGCAGTTTGTACCCAACAGTCATTGCCAGGGACCCAGAACTGATAATCAGGACTTTTAGGCTGGGTGAATAAAAAATTGATGGTTGAAAATTTAAGAAAGAGTTATCTTCTTTGTGTTTTGACATTTTGGAGGAGTTGACAGATAAAGACAAGGCTTGGGGGTATTTCCAATGACAAGGAGGTGCTTGGAGCTGGAGTTGAACCAGCGACCTTAGGATCACAGCGTTTCACACAAGGAGCATCTTACAGTCCACCGCTCTACCAACTGAGCTATCAAGGTGCTCTCTAGTCACAAGTGCAGAAAACATAGTGGCTTCGAAGACACACTATGCCCACAGAACTATTCCAACCCATGGTCAATGAAAAGCCCAGCCCTACCTGCAGAACAAAGCTTTGCAGTTTGTACCCAACAGTCATTGCCATGGACCCAGAACTGATAATCAGGACTTTTAGGCTGGGTGAATAAAAAATTGATGGTTGAAAATTTAAGAAAGAGTTATCTTCTTTGTGTTTTGACATTTTGGAGGAGTTGACAGATAAAGACAAGGCTTGGGGGTATTTCCAATGACAAGGAGGTGCTTGGAGCTGGAGTTGAACCAGCGACCTTAGGATCACAGCGTTTCACACAAGGAGCATCTTACAGTCCACCGCTCTACCAACTGAGCTATCAAGGTGCTCTCTAGTCACAAGTGCAGAAAACATAGTGGCTTCGAAGACACACAATGCCCACAGAACTATTCCAACCCATGGTCAATGAAAAGCCCAGCCCTACCTGCAGAACAAAGCTTTGCAGTTTGTACCCAACAGTCATTGCCAGGGACCCAGAACTGATAATCAGGACTTTTAGGCTGAGTGAATAAAAAATTGATGGTTGAAAATTTAAGAAAGAGTTATCTTCTTTGTGTTTTGACATTTTGGAGGAGTTGACAGATAAAGACAAGGCTTGGGGGTATTTCCAATGACAAGGAGGTGCTTGGAGCTGGAGTTGAACCAGCGACCTTAGGATCACAGCGTTTCACACAAGGAGCATCTTACAGTCCACCGCTCTACCAACTGAGCTATCAAGGTGCTCTCTAGTCACAAGTGCAGAAAACATAGTGGCTTCGAAGACACACTATGCCCACAGAACTATTCCAACCCATGGTCAATGAAAAGCCCAGCCCTACCTGCAGAACAAAGCTTTGCAGTTTGTACCCAACAGTCATTGCCAGGGACCCAGAACTGATAATCAGGACTTTTAGGCTGGGTGAATAAAAAATTGATGGTTGAAAATTTAAGAAAGAGTTATCTTCTTTGTGTTTTGACATTTTGGAGGAGTTGACAGATAAAGACAAGGCTTGGGGGTATTTCCAATGACAAGGAGGTGCTTGGAGCTGGAGTTGAACCAGCGACCTTAGGATCACGGCGTTTCACACAAGGAGCATCTTACAGTCCACCGCTCTACCAACTGAGCTATCAAGGTGCTCTCTAGTCACAAGTGCAGAAAACATAGTGGCTTCGAAGACACACTATGCCCACAGAACTATTCCAACCCATGGTCAATGAAAAGCCCAGCCCTACCTGCAGAACAAAGCTTTGCAGTTTGTACCCAACAGTCATTGCCAGGGACCCAGAACTGATAATCAGGACTTTTAGGCTGGGTGAATAAAAAATTGATGGTTGAAAATTTAAGAAAGAGTTATCTTCTTTGTGTTTTGACATTTTGGAGGAGTTGACAGATAAAGACAAGGCTTGGGGGTATTTCCAATGACAAGGAGGTGCTTGGAGCTGGAGTTGAACCAGCGACCTTAGGATCACGGCGTTTCACACAAGGAGCATCTTACAGTCCACCGCTCTACCAACTGAGCTATCAAGGTGCTCTCTAGTCACAAGTGCAGAAAACATAGTGGCTTCGAAGACACACTATGCCCACAGAACTATTCCAACCCATGGTCAATGAAAAGCCCAGCCCTACCTGCAGAACAAAGCTTTGCAGTTTGTACCCAACAGTCATTGCCAGGGACCCAGAACTGATAATCAGGACTTTTAGGCTGGGTGAATAAAAAATTGATGGTTGAAAATTTAAGAAAGAGTTATCTTCTTTGTGTTTTGACATTTTGGAGGAGTTGACAGATAAAGACAAGGCTTGGGGGTATTTCCAATGACAAGGAGGTGCTTGGAGCTGGAGTTGAACCAGCGAGCTTAGGATCACGGCGTTTCACACAAGGAGCATCTTACAGTCCACCGCTCTACCAACTGAGCTATCAAGGTGCTCTCTAGTCACAAGTGCAGAAAACATAGTGGCTTCAAAGACACACTATGCCCACAGAACTATTCCAACCCATGGTCAATGAAAAGCCCAGCCCTACCTGCAGAACAAAGCTTTGCAGTTTGTACCCAACAGTCATTGCCAGGGACCCAGAACTGATAATCAGGACTTTTAGGCTGGGTGAATAAAAAATTGATGGTTGAAAATTTAAGAAAGAGTTATCTTCTTTGTGTTTTGACATTTTGGAGGAGTTGACAGATAAAGACAAGGCTTGGGGTATTTCCAATGACAAGGAGGTGCTTGGAGCTGGAGTTGAACCAGCGACCTTAGGATCACAGCGTTTCACACAAGGAGCATCTTACAGTCCACCGCTCTACCAACTGAGCTATCAAGGTGCTCTCTAGTCACAAGTGCAGAAAACATAGTGGCTTCGAAGACACACTATGCCCACAGAACTATTCCAACCCATGGTCAATGAAAAGCCCAGCCCTACCTGCAGAACAAAGCTTTGCAGTTTGTACCCAACAGTCATTGCCAGGGACCCAGAACTGATAATCAGGACTTTTAGGCTGAGTGAATAAAAAATTGATGGTTGAAAATTTAAGAAAGAGTTATCTTCTTTGTGTTTTGACATTTTGGAGGAGTTGACAGATAAAGACAAGGCTTGGGGGTATTTCCAATGACAAGGAGGTGCTTGGAGCTGGAGTTGAACCAGCGACCTTAGGATCACAGCGTTTCACACAAGGAGCATCTTACAGTCCACCGCTCTACCAACTGAGCTATCAAGGTGCTCTCTAGTCACAAGTGCAGAAAACATAGTGGCTTCGAAGACACACTATGCCCACAGAACTATTCCAACCCATGGTCAATGAAAAGCCCAGCCCTACCTGCAGAACAAAGCTTTGCAGTTTGTACCCAACAGTCATTGCCAGGGACCCAGAACTGATAATCAGGACTTTTAGGCTGAGTGAATAAAAAATTGATGGTTGAAAATTTAAGAAAGAGTTATCTTCTTTGTGTTTTGACATTTTGGAGGAGTTGACAGATAAAGACAAGGCTTGGGGGTATTTCCAATGACAAGGAGGTGCTTGGAGCTGGAGTTGAACCAGCGACCTTAGGATCACGGCGTTTCACACAAGGAGCATCTTACAGTCCACCGCTCTACCAACTGAGCTATCAAGGTGCTCTCTAGTCACAAGTGCAGAAAACATAGTGGCTTCGAAGACACACTATGCCCACAGAACTATTCCAACCCATGGTCAATGAAAAGCCCAGCCCTACCTGCAGAACAAAGCTTTGCAGTTTGTACCCAACAGTCATTGCCAGGGACCCAGAACTGATAATCAGGACTTTTAGGCTGGGTGAATAAAAAATTGATGGTTGAAAATTTAAGAAAGAGTTATCTTCTTTGTGTTTTGACATTTTGGAGGAGTTGACAGATAAAGACAAGGCTTGGGGGTATTTCCAATGACAAGGAGGTGCTTGGAGCTGGAGTTGAACCAGCGACCTTAGGATCACAGCGTTTCACACAAGGAGCATCTTACAGTCCACCGCTCTACCAACTGAGCTATCAAGGTGCTCTCTAGTCACAAGTGCAGAAAACATAGTGGCTTCAAAGACACACTATGCCCACAGAACTATTCCAACCCATGGTCAATGAAAAGCCCAGCCCTACCTGCAGAACAAAGCTTTGCAGTTTGTACCCAACAGTCATTGCCAGGGACCCAGAACTGATAATCAGGACTTTTAGGCTGAGTGAATAAAAAATTGATGGTTGAAAATTTAAGAAAGAGTTATCTTCTTTGTGTTTTGACATTTTGGAGGAGTTGACAGATAAAGACAAGGCTTGGGGGTATTTCCAATGACAAGGAGGTGCTTGGAGCTGGAGTTGAACCAGCGACCTTAGGATCACAGCGTTTCACACAAGGAGCATCTTACAGTCCACCGCTCTACCAACTGAGCTATCAAGGTGCTCTCTAGTCACAAGTGCAGAAAACATAGTGGCTTCGAAGACACACTATGCCCACAGAACTATTCCAACCCATGGTCAATGAAAAGCCCAGCCCTACCTGCAGAACAAAGCTTTGCAGTTTGTACCCAACAGTCATTGCCAGGGACCCAGAACTGATAATCAGGACTTTTAGGCTGGGTGAATAAAAAATTGATGGTTGAAAATTTAAGAAAGAGTTATCTTCTTTGTGTTTTGACATTTTGGAGGAGTTGACAGATAAAGACAAGGCTTGGGGGTATTTCCAATGACAAGGAGGTGCTTGGAGCTGGAGTTGAACCAGCGACCTTAGGATCACGGCGTTTCACACAAGGAGCATCTTACAGTCCACCGCTCTACCAACTGAGCTATCAAGGTGCTCTCTAGTCACAAGTGCAGAAAACATAGTGGCTTCGAAGACACACTATGCCCACAGAACTATTCCAACCCATGGTCAATGAAAAGCCCAGCCCTACCTGCAGAACAAAGCTTTGCAGTTTGTACCCAACAGTCATTGCCAGGGACCCAGAACTGATAATCAGGACTTTTAGGCTGAGTGAATAAAAAATTGATGGTTGAAAATTTAAGAAAGAGTTATCTTCTTTGTGTTTTGACATTTTGGAGGAGTTGACAGATAAAGACAAGGCTTGGGGGTATTTCCAATGACAAGGAGGTGCTTGGAGCTGGAGTTGAACCAGCGACCTTAGGATCACAGCGTTTCACACAAGGAGCATCTTACAGTCCACCGCTCTACCAACTGAGCTATCAAGGTGCTCTCTAGTCACAAGTGCAGAAAACATAGTGGCTTCGAAGACACACTATGCCCACAGAACTATTCCAACCCATGGTCAATGAAAAGCCCAGCCCTACCTGCAGAACAAAGCTTTGCAGTTTGTACCCAACAGTCATTGCCAGGGACCCAGAACTGATAATCAGGACTTTTAGGCTGAGTGAATAAAAAATTGATGGTTGAAAATTTAAGAAAGAGTTATCTTCTTTGTGTTTTGACATTTTGGAGGAGTTGACAGATAAAGACAAGGCTTGGGGGTATTTCCAATGACAAGGAGGTGCTTGGAGCTGGAGTTGAACCAGCGACCTTAGGATCACAGCGTTTCACACAAGGAGCATCTTACAGTCCACCGCTCTACCAACTGAGCTATCAAGGTGCTCTCTAGTCACAAGTGCAGAAAACATAGTGGCTTCGAAGACACACTATGCCCACAGAACTATTCCAACCCATGGTCAATGAAAAGCCCAGCCCTACCTGCAGAACAAAGCTTTGCAGTTTGTACCCAACAGTCATTGCCAGGGACCCAGAACTGATAATCAGGACTTTTAGGCTGGGTGAATAAAAAATTGATGGTTGAAAATTTAAGAAAGAGTTATCTTCTTTGTGTTTTGACATTTTGGAGGAGTTGACAGATAAAGACAAGGCTTGGGGGTATTTCCAATGACAAGGAGGTGCTTGGAGCTGGAGTTGAACCAGCGAGCTTAGGATCACGGAGTTTCACACAAGGAGCATCTTACAGTCCACCGCTCTACCAACTGAGCTATCAAGGTGCTCTCTAGTCACAAGTGCAGAAAACATAGTGGCTTCGAAGACACACTATGCCCACAGAACTATTCCAACCCATGGTCAATGAAAAGCCCAGCCCTACCTGCAGAACAAAGCTTTGCAGTTTGTACCCAACAGTCATTGCCAGGGACCCAGAACTGATAATCAGGACTTTTAGGCTGGGTGAATAAAAAATTGATGGTTGAAAATTTAAGAAAGAGTTATCTTCTTTGTGTTTTGACATTTTGGAGGAGTTGACAGATAAAGACAAGGTTTGGGGGTATTTCCAATGACAAGGAGGTGCTTGGAGCTGGAGTTGAACCAGCGACCTTAGGATCACAGCGTTTCACACAAGGAGCATCTAACAGTCCACCGCTCTACCAACTGAGCTATCAAGGTGCTCTCTAGTCACAAGTGCAGAAAACATAGTGGCTTCGAAGACACACTATGCCCACAGAACTATTCCAACCCATGGTCAATGAAAAGCCCAGCCCTACCTGCAGAACACAGCTTTGCAGTTTGTACCCAACAGTCATTGCCAGGGACCCAGAACTGATAATCAGGACTTTTAGGCTGAGTGAATAAAAAATTGATGGTTGAAAATTTAAGAAAGAGTTATCTTCTTTGTGTTTTGACATTTTGGAGGAGTTGACAGATAAAGACAAGGCTTGGGGGTATTTCCAATGACAAGGAGGTGCTTGGAGCTGGAGTTGAACCAGCGAGCTTAGGATCACGGCGTTTCACACAAGGAGCATCTTACAGTCCACCGCTCTACCAACTGAGCTATCAAGGTGCTCTCTAGTCACAAGTGCAGAAAACATAGTGGCTTCGAAGACACACTATGCCCACAGAACTATTCCAACCCATGGTCAATGAAAAGCCCAGCCCTACCTGCAGAACAAAGCTTTGCAGTTTGTACCCAACAGTCATTGCCAGGGACCCAGAACTGATAATCAGGACTTTTAGGCTGGGTGAATAAAAAATTGATGGTTGAAAATTTAAGAAAGAGTTATCTTCTTTGTGTTTTGACATTTTGGAGGAGTTGACAGATAAAGACAAGGCTTGGGGGTATTTCCAATGACAAGGAGGTGCTTGGAGCTGGAGTTGAATCAGCGACCTTAGGATCACAGCGTTTCACACAAGGAGCATCTTACAGTCCACCGCTCTACCAACTGAGCTATCAAGGTGCGCTCTAGTCACAAGTGCAGAAAACATAGTGGCTTCGAAGACACACTATGCCCACAGAACTATTCCAACCCATGGTCAATGAAAAGCCCAGCCCTACCTGCAGAACACAGCTTTGCAGTTTGTACCCAACAGTCATTGCCAGGGACCCAGAACTGATAATCAGGACTTTTAGGCTGGGTGAATAAAAAATTGATGGTTGAAAATTTAAGAAAGAGTTATCTTCTTTGTGTTTTGACATTTTGGAGGAGTTGACAGATAAAGACAAGGCTTGGGGGTATTTCCAATGACAAGGAGGTGCTTGGAGCTGGAGTTGAACCAGCGACCTTAGGATCACAGCGTTTCACACAAGGAGCATCTTACAGTCCACCGCTCTACCAACTGAGCTATCAAGGTGCTCTCTAGTCACAAGTGCAGAAAACATAGTGGCTTCGAAGACACACTATGCCCACAGAACTATTCCAACCCATGGTCAATGAAAAGCCCAGCCCTACCTGCAGAACAAAGCTTTGCAGTTTGTACCCAACAGTCATTGCCAGGGACCCAGAACTGATAATCAGGACTTTTAGGCTGAGTGAATAAAAAATTGATGGTTGAAAATTTAAGAAAGAGTTATCTTCTTTGTGTTTTGACATTTTGGAGGAGTTGACAGATAAAGACAAGGCTTGGGGGTATTTCCAATGACAAGGAGGTGCTTGGAGCTGGAGTTGAACCAGCGACCTTAGGATCACAGCGTTTCACACACGGGGAGCATCTTACAGTCCACCGCTCTACCAACTGAGCTATCAAGGTGCTCTCTAGTCACAAGTGCAGAAAACATAGTGGCTTCGAAGACACACTATGCCCACAGAACTATTCCAACCCATGGTCAATGAAAAGCCCAGCCCTACCTGCAGAACAAAGCTTTGCAGTTTGTACCCAACAGTCATTGCCAGGGACCCAGAACTGATAATCAGGACTTTTAGGCTGGGTGAATAAAAAATTGATGGTTGAAAATTTAAGAAAGAGTTATCTTCTTTGTGTTTTGACATTTTGGAGGAGTTGACAGATAAAGACAAGGCTTGGGGGTATTTCCAATGACAAGGAGGTGCTTGGAGCTGGAGTTGAACCAGCGACCTTAGGATCACAGCGTTTCACACAAGGAGCATCTTACAGTCCACCGCTCTACCAACTGAGCTATCAAGGTGCTCTCTAGTCACAAGTGCAGAAAACATAGTGGCTTCGAAGACACACTATGCCCACAGAACTATTCCAACCCATGGTCAATGAAAAGCCCAGCCCTACCTGCAGAACAAAGCTTTGCAGTTTGTACCCAACAGTCATTGCCAGGGACCCAGAACTGATAATCAGGACTTTTAGGCTGAGTGAATAAAAAATTGATGGTTGAAAATTTAAGAAAGAGTTATCTTCTTTGTGTTTTGACATTTTGGAGGAGTTGACAGATAAAGACAAGGCTTGGGGGTATTTCCAATGACAAGGAGGTGCTTGGAGCTGGAGTTGAACCAGCGACCTTAGGATCACAGCGTTTCACACAAGGAGCATCTTACAGTCCACCGCTCTACCAACTGAGCTATCAAGGTGCTCTCTAGTCACAAGTGCAGAAAACATAGTGGCTTCGAAGACACACTATGCCCACAGAACTATTCCAACCCATGGTCAATGAAAAGCCCAGCCCTACCTGCAGAACAAAGCTTTGCAGTTTGTACCCAACAGTCATTGCCAGGGACCCAGAACTGATAATCAGGACTTTTAGGCTGGGTGAATAAAAAATTGATGGTTGAAAATTTAAGAAAGAGTTATCTTCTTTGTGTTTTGACATTTTGGAGGAGTTGACAGATAAAGACAAGGCTTGGGGGTATTTCCAATGACAAGGAGGTGCTTGGAGCTGGAGTTGAATCAGCGACCTTAGGATCACAGCGTTTCACACAAGGAGCATCTTACAGTCCACCGCTCTACCAACTGAGCTATCAAGGTGCTCTCTAGTCACAAGTGCAGAAAACATAGTGGCTTCGAAGACACACTATGCCCACAGAACTATTCCAACCCATGGTCAATGAAAAGCCCAGCCCTACCTGCAGAACAAAGCTTTGCAGTTTGTACCCAACAGTCATTGCCAGGGACCCAGAACTGATAATCAGGACTTTTAGGCTGAGTGAATAAAAAATTGATGGTTGAAAATTTAAGAAAGAGTTATCTTCTTTGTGTTTTGACATTTTGGAGGAGTTGACAGATAAAGACAAGGCTTGGGGGTATTTCCAATGACAAGGAGGTGCTTGGAGCTGGAGTTGAACCAGCGACCTTAGGATCACAGCGTTTCACACAAGGAGCATCTTACAGTCCACCGCTCTACCAACTGAGCTATCAAGGTGCTCTCTAGTCACAAGTGCAGAAAACATAGTGGCTTCGAAGACACACTATGCCCACAGAACTATTCCAACCCATGGTCAATGAAAAGCCCAGCCCTACCTGCAGAACAAAGCTTTGCAGTTTGTACCCAACAGTCATTGCCAGGGACCCAGAACTGATAATCAGGACTTTTAGGCTGGGTGAATAAAAAATTGATGGTTGAAAATTTAAGAAAGAGTTATCTTCTTTGTGTTTTGACATTTTGGAGGAGTTGACAGATAAAGACAAGGCTTGGGGGTATTTCCAATGACAAGGAGGTGCTTGGAGCTGGAGTTGAACCAGCGACCTTAGGATCACAGCGTTTCACACAAGGAGCATCTTACAGTCCACCGCTCTACCAACTGAGCTATCAAGGTGCTCTCTAGTCACAAGTGCAGAAAACATAGTGGCTTCGAAGACACACTATGCCCACAGAACTATTCCAACCCATGGTCAATGAAAAGCCCAGCCCTACCTGCAGAACAAAGCTTTGCAGTTTGTACCCAACAGTCATTGCCAGGGACCCAGAACTGATAATCAGGACTTTTAGGCTGAGTGAATAAAAAATTGATGGTTGAAAATTTAAGAAAGAGTTATCTTCTTTGTGTTTTGACATTTTGGAGGAGTTGACAGATAAAGACAAGGCTTGGGGGTATTTCCAATGACAAGGAGGTGCTTGGAGCTGGAGTTGAACCAGCGACCTTAGGATCACAGCGTTTCACACAAGGAGCATCTTACAGTCCACCGCTCTACCAACTGAGCTATCAAGGTGCTCTCTAGTCACAAGTGCAGAAAACATAGTGGCTTCGAAGACACACTATGCCCACAGAACTATTCCAACCCATGGTCAATGAAAAGCCCAGCCCTACCTGCAGAACAAAGCTTTGCAGTTTGTACCCAACAGTCATTGCCAGGGACCCAGAACTGATAATCAGGACTTTTAGGCTGGGTGAATAAAAAATTGATGGTTGAAAATTTAAGAAAGAGTTATCTTCTTTGTGTTTTGACATTTTGGAGGAGTTGACAGATAAAGACAAGGCTTGGGGGTATTTCCAATGACAAGGAGGTGCTTGGAGCTGGAGTTGAACCAGCGACCTTAGGATCACAGCGTTTCACACAAGGAGCATCTTACAGTCCACCGCTCTACCAACTGAGCTATCAAGGTGCTCTCTAGTCACAAGTGCAGAAAACATAGTGGCTTCGAAGACACACTATGCCCACAGAACTATTCCAACCCATGGTCAATGAAAAGCCCAGCCCTACCTGCAGAACAAAGCTTTGCAGTTTGTACCCAACAGTCATTGCCAGGGACCCAGAACTGATAATCAGGACTTTTAGGCTGAGTGAATAAAAAATTGATGGTTGAAAATTTAAGAAAGAGTTATCTTCTTTGTGTTTTGACATTTTGGAGGAGTTGACAGATAAAGACAAGGCTTGGGGGTATTTCCAATGACAAGGAGGTGCTTGGAGCTGGAGTTGAACCAGCGACCTTAGGATCACAGCGTTTCACACAAGGAGCATCTTACAGTCCACCGCTCTACCAACTGAGCTATCAAGGTGCTCTCTAGTCACAAGTGCAGAAAACATAGTGGCTTCGAAGACACACTATGCCCACAGAACTATTCCAACCCATGGTCAATGAAAAGCCCAGCCCTACCTGCAGAACAAAGCTTTGCAGTTTGTACCCAACAGTCATTGCCAGGGACCCAGAACTGATAATCAGGACTTTTAGGCTGAGTGAATAAAAAATTGATGGTTGAAAATTTAAGAAAGAGTTATCTTCTTTGTGTTTTGACATTTTGGAGGAGTTGACAGATAAAGACAAGGCTTGGGGGTATTTCCAATGACAAGGAGGTGCTTGGAGCTGGAGTTGAACCAGCGACCTTAGGATCACGGCGTTTCACACAAGGAGCATCTTACAGTCCACCGCTCTACCAACTGAGCTATCAAGGTGCTCTCTAGTCACAAGTGCAGAAAACATAGTGGCTTCGAAGACACACTATGCCCACAGAACTATTCCAACCCATGGTCAATGAAAAGCCCAGCCCTACCTGCAGAACAAAGCTTTGCAGTTTGTACCCAACAGTCATTGCCAGGGACCCAGAACTGATAATCAGGACTTTTAGGCTGAGTGAATAAAAAATTGATGGTTGAAAATTTAAGAAAGAGTTATCTTCTTTGTGTTTTGACATTTTGGAGGAGTTGACAGATAAAGACAAGGCTTGGGGGTATTTCCAATGACAAGGAGGTGCTTGGAGCTGGAGTTGAACCAGCGAGCTTAGGATCACGGCGTTTCACACAAGGAGCATCTTACAGTCCACCGCTCTACCAACTGAGCTATCAAGGTGCTCTCTAGTCACAAGTGCAGAAAACATAGTGGCTTCGAAGACACACTATGCCCACAGAACTATTCCAACCCATGGTCAATGAAAAGCCCAGCCCTACCTGCAGAACAAAGCTTTGCAGTTTGTACCCAACAGTCATTGCCAGGGACCCAGAACTGATAATCAGGACTTTTAGGCTGGGTGAATAAAAAATTGATGGTTGAAAATTTAAGAAAGAGTTATCTTCTTTGTGTTTTGACATTTTGGAGGAGTTGACAGATAAAGACAAGGCTTGGGGGTATTTCCAATGACAAGGAGGTGCTTGGTGCTGGAGTTGAACCAGCGACCTTAGGATCACGGCGTTTCACACAAGGAGCATCTTACAGTCCACCGCTCTACCAACTGAGCTATCAAGGTGCTCTCTAGTCACAAGTGCAGAAAACATAGTGGCTTCGAAGACACACTATGCCCACAGAACTATTCCAACCCATGGTCAATGAAAAGCCCAGCCCTACCTGCAGAACAAAGCTTTGCAGTTTGTACCCAACAGTCATTGCCAGGGACCCAGAACTGATAATCAGGACTTTTAGGCTGGGTGAATAAAAAATTGATGGTTGAAAATTTAAGAAAGAGTTATCTTCTTTGTGTTTTGACATTTTGGAGGAGTTGACAGATAAAGACAAGGCTTGGGGGTATTTCCAATGACAAGGAGGTGCTTGGAGCTGGAGTTGAACCAGCGACCTTAGGATCACAGCGTTTCACACAAGGAGCATCTTACAGTCCACCGCTCTACCAACTGAGCTATCAAGGTGCTCTCTAGTCACAAGTGCAGAAAACATAGTGGCTTCGAAGACACACTATGCCCACAGAACTATTCCAACCCATGGTCAATGAAAAGCCCAGCCCTACCTGCAGAACAAAGCTTTGCAGTTTGTACCCAACAGTCATTGCCAGGGACCCAGAACTGATAATCAGGACTTTTAGGCTGAGTGAATAAAAAATTGATGGTTGAAAATTTAAGAAAGAGTTATCTTCTTTGTGTTTTGACATTTTGGAGGAGTTGACAGATAAAGACAAGGCTTGGGGGTATTTCCAATGACAAGGAGGTGCTTGGAGCTGGAGTTGAACCAGCGACCTTAGGATCACGGCGTTTCACACAAGGAGCATCTTACAGTCCACCGCTCTACCAACTGAGCTATCAAGGTGCTCTCTAGTCACAAGTGCAGAAAACATAGTGGCTTCGAAGACACACTATGCCCACAGAACTATTCCAACCCATGGTCAATGAAAAGCCCAGCCCTACCTGCAGAACAAAGCTTTGCAGTTTGTACCCAACAGTCATTGCCAGGGACCCAGAACTGATAATCAGGACTTTTAGGCTGGGTGAATAAAAAATTGATGGTTGAAAATTTAAGAAAGAGTTATCTTCTTTGTGTTTTGACATTTTGGAGGAGTTGACAGATAAAGACAAGGCTTGGGGGTATTTCCAATGACAAGGAGGTGCTTGGAGCTGGAGTTGAACCAGCGACCTTAGGATCACAGCGTTTCACACAAGGAGCATCTTACAGTCCACCGCTCTACCAACTGAGCTATCAAGGTGCTCTCTAGTCACAAGTGCAGAAAACATAGTGGCTTCGAAGACACACTATGCCCACAGAACTATTCCAACCCATGGTCAATGAAAAGCCCAGCCCTACCTGCAGAACAAAGCTTTGCAGTTTGTACCCAACAGTCATTGCCAGGGACCCAGAACTGATAATCAGGACTTTTAGGCTGGGTGAATAAAAAATTGATGGTTGAAAATTTAAGAAAGAGTTATCTTCTTTGTGTTTTGACATTTTGGAGGAGTTGACAGATAAAGACAAGGCTTGGGGGTATTTCCAATGACAAGGAGGTGCTTGGAGCTGGAGTTGAACCAGCGACCTTAGGATCACGGCGTTTCACACAAGGAGCATCTTACAGTCCACCGCTCTACCAACTGAGCTATCAAGGTGCTCTCTAGTCACAAGTGCAGAAAACATAGTGGCTTCGAAGACACACTATGCCCACAGAACTATTCCAACCCATGGTCAATGAAAAGCCCAGCCCTACCTGCAGAACAAAGCTTTGCAGTTTGTACCCAACAGTCATTGCCAGGGACCCAGAACTGATAATCAGGACTTTTAGGCTGGGTGAATAAAAAATTGATGGTTGAAAATTTAAGAAAGAGTTATCTTCTTTGTGTTTTGACATTTTGGAGGAGTTGACAGATAAAGACAAGGCTTGGGGTATTTCCAATGACAAGGAGGTGCTTGGAGCTGGAGTTGAACCAGCGACCTTAGGATCACAGCGTTTCACACAAGGAGCATCTTACAGTCCACCGCTCTACCAACTGAGCTATCAAGGTGCTCTCTAGTCACAAGTGCAGAAAACATAGTGGCTTCGAAGACACACTATGCCCACAGAACTATTCCAACCCATGGTCAATGAAAAGCCCAGCCCTACCTGCAGAACAAAGCTTTGCAGTTTGTACCCAACAGTCATTGCCAGGGACCCAGAACTGATAATCAGGACTTTTAGGCTGGGTGAATAAAAAATTGATGGTTGAAAATTTAAGAAAGAGTTATCTTCTTTGTGTTTTGACATTTTGGAGGAGTTGACAGATAAAGACAAGGCTTGGGGGTATTTCCAATGACAAGGAGGTGCTTGGAGCTGGAGTTGAACCAGCGACCTTAGGATCACGGCGTTTCACACAAGGAGCATCTTACAGTCCACCGCTCTACCAACTGAGCTATCAAGGTGCTCTCTAGTCACAAGTGCAGAAAACATAGTGGCTTCGAAGACACACTATGCCCACAGAACTATTCCAACCCATGGTCAATGAAAAGCCCAGCCCTACCTGCAGAACAAAGCTTTGCAGTTTGTACCCAACAGTCATTGCCAGGGACCCAGAACTGATAATCAGGACTTTTAGGCTGGGTGAATAAAAAAATTGATGGTTGAAAATTTAAGAAAGAGTTATCTTCTTTGTGTTTTGACATTTTGGAGGAGTTGACAGATAAAGACAAGGCTTGGAGGTATTTCCAATGACAAGGAGGTGCTTGGAGCTGGAGTTGAACCAGCGACCTTAGGATCACGGCGTTTCACACAAGGAGCATCTTACAGTCCACCGCTCTACCAACTGAGCTATCAAGGTGCTCTCTAGTCACAAGTGCAGAAAACATAGTGGCTTCGAAGACACACTATGCCCACAGAACTATTCCAACCCATGGTCAATGAAAAGCCCAGCCCTACCTGCAGAACAAAGCTTTGCAGTTTGTACCCAACAGTCATTGCCAGGGACCCAGAACTGATAATCAGGACTTTTAGGCTGGGTGAATAAAAAAATTGATGGTTGAAAATTTAAGAAAGAGTTATCTTCTTTGTGTTTTGACATTTTGGAGGAGTTGACAGATAAAGACAAGGCTTGGGGGTATTTCCAATGACAAGGAGGTGCTTGGAGCTGGAGTTGAACCAGCGACCTTAGGATCACAGCGTTTCACACAAGGAGCATCTTACAGTCCACCGCTCTACCAACTGAGCTATCAAGGTGCTCTCTAGTCACAAGTGCAGAAAACATAGTGGCTTCGAAGACACACTATGCCCACAGAACTATTCCAACCCATGGTCAATGAAAAGCCCAGCCCTACCTGCAGAACAAAGCTTTGCAGTTTGTACCCAACAGTCATTGCCAGGGACCCAGAACTGATAATCAGGACTTTTAGGCTGGGTGAATAAAAAATTGATGGTTGAAAATTTAAGAAAGAGTTATCTTCTTTGTGTTTTGACATTTTGGAGGAGTTGACAGATAAAGACAAGGCTTGGGGGTATTTTCAATGACAAGGAGGTGCTTGGAGCTGGAGTTGAACCAGCGACCTTAGGATCACAGCGTTTCACACAAGGAGCATCTTACAGTCCACCGCTCTACCAACTGAGCTATCAAGGTGCTCTCTAGTCACAAGTGCAGAAAACATAGTGGCTTCGAAGACACACTATGCCCACAGAACTATTCCAACCCATGGTCAATGAAAAGCCCAGCCCTACCTGCAGAACAAAGCTTTGCAGTTTGTACCCAACAGTCATTGCCAGGGACCCAGAACTGATAATCAGGACTTTTAGGCTGAGTGAATAAAAAATTGATGGTTGAAAATTTAAGAAAGAGATATCTTCTTTGTGTTTTGACATATTGGAGGAGTTGACAGATAAAGACAAGGCTTGGGGGTATTTCCAATGACAAGGAGGTGCTTGGAGCTGGAGTTGAACCAGCGAGCTTAGGATCACGGCGTTTCACACAAGGAGCATCTTACAGTCCACCGCTCTACCAACTGAGCTATCAAGGTGCTCTCTAGTCACAAGTGCAGAAAACATAGTGGCTTCGAAGACACACTATGCCCACAGAACTATTCCAACCCATGGTCAATGAAAAGCCCAGCCCTACCTGCAGAACAAAGCTTTGCAGTTTGTACCCAACAGTCATTGCCAGGGACCCAGAACTGATAATCAGGACTTTTAGGCTGAGTGAATAAAAAATTGATGGTTGAAAATTTAAGAAAGAGTTATCTTCTTTGTGTTTTGACATTTTGGAGGAGTTGACAGATAAAGACAAGGCTTGGGGGTATTTCCAATGACAAGGAGGTGCTTGGAGCTGGAGTTGAACCAGCGAGCTTAGGATCACGGCGTTTCACACAAGGAGCATCTTACAGTCCACCGCTCTACCAACTGAGCTATCAAGGTGCTCTCTAGTCACAAGTGCAGAAAACATAGTGGCTTCGAAGACACACTATGCCCACAGAACTATTCCAACCCATGGTCAATGAAAAGCCCAGCCCTACCTGCAGAACAAAGCTTTGCAGTTTGTACCCAACAGTCATTGCCAGGGACCCAGAACTGATAATCAGGACTTTTAGGCTGGGTGAATAAAAAATTGATGGTTGAAAATTTAAGAAAGAGTTATCTTCTTTGTGTTTTGACATTTTGGAGGAGTTGACAGATAAAGACAAGGCTTGGGGGTATTTCCAATGACAAGGAGGTGCTTGGTGCTGGAGT